AATTACAAAATGTGTCAATTGAGCTTGATCTTTACAGATGAAAATTGACATTTTGAAGGCAGATGCAGACTATAAAAGTGGCTTAGACAGTGGGCATGAAGTATCGAAGGCTGACTAGTTCAATTAAACTTTAAATTTCCTCTATGTCCTGGGTCTCTTTCCATAACTCCATTTCCCTCACATTCTGTCAAGGAGTTTATACTATTATATAAATGAAAACTTTCACTGAGTTCAGAAAACATTGAGAATTTAAAAGATTAACTACAGAATAAGGTGACATATTAAGCAAACTTAAGAGGAAGTAACAGTGAACCACAAGAAGCTTGAAGACGGGGATTGGAGATGGTTCCTAGGAAATAGGCTGAAGTGAGGCAACTTGTGGCGGGCAGGAGGGAGCAGGGAAGAGATATCCTGCACATGGAAGCAACATAACCAAAAGTGAGGGTTCAGGAACATTTATGGGAGGTTCTTGAGGCAGTGAGTACATCCATTTTGCCAAAGTAGAGGATTCTCACAGGGAAGTAGGGAACTAAAGAACAGAGGTTGTGCTTGGGATAGATTGTGGAGGACCTGGAATGCCCAGTAAAACAGCTGGACTTTCTTCTCTTCTACTAGCAGTTTGTAGGATCGATTTTTTTTAACAGTTTTTATTGAAAGGTAACTCACAGGCCAGAAACAAAAGCTGTACTTCAGCAGAATGTACGCTGTAAGTTCAACACTCCCTTCTGCTATTAATTTTCATGTTTCCTCAGCCCTGCCTTATACTTGCTCTCATAGGTGCCTCCATTGCTCTGATGGACAAAGAAGGGTTGACAGCCCTCAGCTGGGCTTGTTTGAAGGGTCATCTCTCTGTAGTACGTTCACTGGTAGATAATGGAGCTGCCACAGACCATGCTGACAAGAATGGCCGAACCCCATTGGATCTGGCAGCTTTCTATGGTGATGCTGAGGTGGTGAGTGTCTTTAAACAAACTTCACAGTGGTAGGGATAGGGGAGTGTTCCCTGTGCAGTAACTTGATCTCTAATTTAATGATTATGACGTACCAAATGTGTGAAAAGAATTATCTTAAGTTCTCTTTGAAACTAGCAAGGAAATAATAGGCTCTTTGCCATTCAAAGCTTATAATTTTAAGCTAGAACCAAGTATATCTTGAATTTTCCATCCATAATGCTATCTAGCGTTGAGGATTACATGTGGTGATTTCTTTTTTTTTTTTAATTAAATTATTATCTGTGTACATATTTTAACATTGCCCCTCCCAAACATACCCTCCCTCCCCAGAGTTTTGTGTCCATTGGTTGTAAAGTTCTTGGAGCTATACTTTAGAGGACAGAAAAATTCAAAACACCACTAAAGACCAAGCATAAAGGTATGGCCTAAAATACCATGGCTACTCAGTCTGGTTCAGACCAGCAGTTGAATAAAGGGCAGGCAGCAGCCAGAACCCTAGGTGGAGCTGAATCATTGCATTTATGTTAACTCCTCTATTTGATCCATGTGCTAGGTCCAGTTTCTGGTGGATCACGGGGCCATGATCGAGCATGTGGATTACAGTGGAATGCGCCCGTTGGATAGGGCAGTGGGGTGCCGGAACACTTCCGTCGTTGTCACTCTTCTGAAGAAAGGAGCCAAGATAGGTAGGAAAAAGGAAGAAGGTGCTGGCCATCTGTGCCCAGAGGCCAGACTGGTCCAGTGGTCTGGCTGCCTTGGGTGTTTGGTGTGAGTGTATATAGTTTCCCCTCTGCCCTGGCCCAAATACTGTCCAAGTAAACAGGAAGGCTCTTGGCCCAGAGAAAGCCATCTGAGCCATGGTCTACACTACCCTGAGTAAAATCACATGGTTCTCTGCCATGCCCCTTGTAGCCTTACCCAGGAGGCTGCTCTGAACCTTCAGCACATCTTAGTGCTAGTGCCTCTATATCAGCCCCACCCTGTGAGCATCCCGGATCCCTGCACGGCCGTGAGCCTTTGCTTCCCTTGCTCTGTATGTGCTTCAGATCCTTAAGCCCCTGCTGCTGCTGCCCCATTCGCTCCCCACCCACAGACCTGTAGACAAGGGTTGGCTTATATGCTGGCTTTTTTGCTGCCTGCCTCTCACTGCTGCTTTTTCCTTCTTTTTCACCTTCATCCATTTTTTTTTCCTCTCCTACAACTTTTTGTTTTCTCCTTTCTTTGAAGGTTGTCAGACGTTACCGAGTCGCCCACGAGGTATATTTCACCGCTGTCAGCATCAGGCGTGGTCTGATGGCTTGGTCAGCTTTGCCTTCTCCTCTTTGATTTAGCCTGCATGAGTTCCCCTCACCTCTAATCTTTTAATTTACTTCACCTTAAAAGAAGATTTTTTTAAATAACTGTTGTAGAGAATAACTTGAACTTTTCATAACTAACCCTAAAAAGCTTAGTTGGTAAATAATTCAGGCATCTGTAAACTAATCAGTTTAACCTTTTCTTTCTCTTTGGGGGTAAAATAGTCCTCAATAATGTTGGCTTGTCTCATGTCTTTCTGACATTGGGACTGTGCTCCTGGTACACAATAAATCCAGGAGTCCTACTCAATACTTAAAAATTAAGGGAGCCTTTAGACTCTTGAATGGTTTCTCTCTGCAAAGTGCATATTTAAATATTAATAAAATAAATAGTTGGGGCCTTTGAGTCCCAAATTATAAAGTAACTTTCTCTTTTTGGATGTTTAAAATCTTATAGTGATATTTAATGTAAACCCTTTCTCCCTTTTTTTTTAATTTAAAATAACTCCAAACTAAGCTATTGTCTGCCCAAATACAGTATGCAGACTTTGCTGCCCTCTTGTGGTACAAACTCAGTTCAGACATTCTTATTTTAAGGTGAATACAGTCCAGTGCAGCTTCTAGGCAGTGGGAGTCATTAAGATACTCCCAGGTCCAAAAGATGAGGAAATTCTTGTGGAGCAAGTTGTTCTCTCAGCAGAAATTCCCCCAGGATGTTTTTTTCACCTAGCTTCCTACCACCCTTACATTGTATGAGTTTTTTACCCATCATGCATCCTGTACACTACAGGTCCAGCCACATGGGCGATGGCCACCTCCAAACCAGACATCATGATCATCCTGTTGAGCAAGCTGATGGAAGAGGGGGACATGTTTTATAAGGTGAGGGGAAGAAGGAACGAAGTTTCCTCAAAACAGCCACTGACTGTTTTCTACGTATGGAACCTACCGAAGTCTTGACAGTTCTCCTCTTCGGTCCTAGAGACAAAGGGAGAATGCCATCCCTCCGTGCCCCGCTCATAAATTGAAAATCCAGGCTTTTCACCTTCTCAACAAGAGAGCAAGAATAGCCTACACATTCCTGTAGCTGATCAACCTAAAGACCTAGTTTAACCACTATTAGGCAGTTACATAGATTCTACATGGAATCTGTTAAGTGGGACCTGAAAATTCATGAGACAAGTCAAAGTAGAATAATGTAGTGCAGATATTTTCAGTCCATGGAAAAGAGTGTTGATCTTGTCTTTCATATTTAATATATACATAGATTTAAGAGTCTATAATAATAATTTATCACTATCTCTGAGAAAGGTAAGACAACCAAGACAGCAATTAGAAGATTTGCTTGAAGTCACTCATTGAATGACAAGAACAATAAAAAGAATGGAGTCTTTTTGTGCTCACAACTCAAGCTGAGGGCTCCATGTCCTCCTAGCACAAAAACTCACGGCCTATAGGAAGTTCCTTAAGAACATTCCATGTCAGAATTACCGTGTTATGTTAAGATTAGCTGAATCGTCCTCTCCTGAAGGTAAACAAACACAAATTCAGCCAGCTTTGGGCATTGGGCCTCACTGAGACGTCTCTAGGCCCTGGAGATGACTATATGTACACTCCCACCCCAGAGAAAGGAATACACAGAGTTCCTGGGGACAGAATTGTATTTCCTATTTCCTGGGGAACTTTGAATGAGACTCATGATAATCTAAGACTCTTAGCCTTCTAGGAAACTTGAGTTCTGACTCAACCATGATTTCACATAATTTCAAGGAAGGGCCTCTTTTGCTGCCATATTTATGGACCTGAGAATGGCATTCCCTCAAGAATCTAAGGCCTGGTTATAACATAACTTCTGATAGTCTAAGACAGGGTGTCCTACCTTCTAATGAGAATGGACAGAGCTACTACTGATTCCACCCAGAAACCCACTTTGGAAGACTCCAAACCTCTTCTTAATGAGAGGTGCTACAGAAAAAAATAAGAAATAGAGATTCCTGGTAAAGTTGCAGCTATACAGAAAGATTAGAGTGGATAAAGATGAACTAGAGGAACGGGGGTGCCTCCTGCATCATTCTGGACTCAGCGTGTAGATTTTCAAATACAAATTGTAAGAAAATTTCAAGGCTTCTGTGACCAGGTCCCTAAGTTCATCATAGATTTGCTTTATCTTGGGAAACCCCTCCTACATAGTCAGATAGAATCACAAACTCTAAACTTCACTTTTCTACTATCACCTTACCCATGCCTTTTCAAAAAAAGGGGGGGGGAAATGGATTGATATTATTTTATGCCATGAGAGTAGGAAACCAGCAACTAGATTGTTTTAGCTCCTGCATCCTTTGTGAGGAAGAGAATGACCTCTTCTAGAGGACTGGCAAGGTGGAACATCAAACAAGGAAAGAGTTTTCCGGATAAGCAGAATTCAGAAAGTAGTCATTTTGGTGTGCTTGAGACTAGGAAATATGTGTTGCCAGGAGATCAGGTCAAGAGAAAGCTCCTCTGAAAGAGTGAGGTCAGAATCCAGTTGAGAAGCTGGTCCCAGGCCTTTTATCACATGGTTTTGTTTCTCAACCAAGCCTTTCCAGACTAAAGGCAAAGCTGGCCCCTTCTGCTCCCATATTCAGAGCCAAACCTACTCTCTGAAGTGGCATTTGGGAGGGCTAACTCTTCATAATGACTGGAGAGAATAAGGAATGGGACCAAACTTAGTTGCTCAGCAGACCAACTTTGTGTTTTGCCATCTTGTCCTCCCATTAGAAAGGTAAAGTAAAGGAGGCTGCCCAGCGCTACCAGTACGCTCTGAAGAAATTCCCTAGAGAAGGGTTTGGTGAGGACTTGAAAACCTTCCGGGAACTGAAGGTGTCTCTTCTCCTCAACCTCTCTCGGTGTCGCAGGAAAATGAACGTAAGTCATTCTCATCCCAGCTCCTTCTGCAGTCCTGGAAGTTGACAGTCCAAGTCACTCACTAGCCTTTACCAGGCCCCTGATTCTTCTCTGGCCCATTTGGAACTTGGTTGTCCTTCACAGAGCACTGACATTTGCAATTTCAAAGAAATCAAACTCTTAAGTACAATCCATATCAAACTATAAAAAAGTTAATGCTGTGGGCACTTTATAGGTTTCTGAGTTTTCATAATTCCCACTGAAAGTGATTTAAAAAACTGTCATCATCCTCCCCACCTCAAAGTTGATTTTCTGGTCGTTGGGAAAATGTGAGAGCAATTGTCACTAAAATTTCAGCTGCAATTAGTTATGAATTTTAATCATTACCTCCCTTTGTAGAAGGCTCCCGAGTCACATATGGATGGGCTGGAAAGAGGACTCGGGACCATGAACTTCAAGATTTAATTTCTAAGGCTAATCTTGAGCTTTTCACTTCTACTCATCTTTTTATTCTAGCATGCCATGTCCCTTCTTTTTGCAGATAGAATCTTAGCACTCTTCCTGGTCCCTAATTATCTCCCAAATAATCCTTGGTCCTTCTTGGCCTGCCTTGTAAATAGTCTCTGCTGCCCGCAGCAACCTTGTCATGCAGACACTCCAAGGCCAAGAACCCTCTCTCAGATCCTGGGAATAGCTAAGATCATGTCAGGAATCTCTGTCGTCCAACAGCCTGAGGTTTCAGAGTTCATCAAGAGATAGAAATAATCTAAGCCAAACAGGAGTGTTGATCAATAAAGAACTCAGCTCTACAATAGTGAGATTTCAGCTCAGTGGTAATGGCTCTGCTATCAATATCAGAGAGATTATTTGCCTATATGATCTTTATATCATCCATCTAAAACCTGACAATGAAAAGAGCCCTAATATGGTCTTGGTGTCTCAGAGGACATAGTTAGGACCCTAAGAGGCAGAGCTGCCCTGGGTGCTGAGGAGAGTGAGGCCACTAGGAGGAGGTGGGTGTCTTAGGGGGAGGCAGTGAGGTTCTTAGATAAAACAGAAGAATCTTCACCTCCTGGGACACCAGCTAGTGATAGTGAGACAGAGTACAGGAGCTGCTGCCACCCTGCTGGCTTCTCTTTGCCTAACAAATAGTATACTTCGAAAAAATAATCTTCCCAGACATAACAATAGTCTTAAAAGAAAAAAGTAAAGGGTAAGGTTGGAAACAGTAGGTATAGAAGACAACCTTGCTAAGATGGAATGCTTTCTCTCTAGCTCCACATTTGTTCAGAAATAATCACCTCCCACGAGCAGTACTCTGGTTAGCACCTGAAGTCTGTCTTTGGTAGAAAATTGCCCATTCTTTTTTTTTTTTTTTTTTAACCTGTGCCCCAGGGCCTTTGTTCTTCCTAAGGCCTTGTTTTCTGCATTAGGAATCACAGTGAACCCAGAGGCTACTGTGCTGTGCTTTGACATTAAAAGAGGAAGAAAAAAACTTCTCTTTTGTGTGAGGGTTAAAAACTATGGTTTTGTGCCTCCGTGGAGCCTCCATGATCAAGAAATGAAGCGATAGCACAGACCCTAGTCATAGACAGGGTCCTCTTTTGGTTTTTTTACTTTAAATGTTCCTAAATAAGGAACCAGTTAAGAGAAGAAACAGACCAAAGAAGTTCTCTGAAATAAAAAGAAAACTACCATTTACTGAGCATCTACTTTGTGCCAAGAACTGTTTACAGAGCATTCATATACTGTATTGCTCTTAATCCTACCTGTGAAGTAGGTATGCATAAGAAAACACACAACACACTCTGAAAGGTCACAAAGCAGACCAGAGAATTGAACACATCGACTGTCCTTACTCTGTCTAGCCAGCACAGACCTCATCCTCTTGGATTTCACTCATCCCTTTGAAAACCAAGGAATAGTGGGTGTGGCAGGGAGGTGGGAAGTAGAGTGAATTTCCATGTGAGGTGTAGATGTGTGTGTCATGGGAAGTGATTATTTCTGTGTGTTGGCTTCATTCATGCGTGTGTAATAAGTTTAGGTTTCCAACTTGAGGCACTTCATTGGGTTGACATTGGGCTTCTGGCCTAGAAAGAGCTTTGTGAGAAAGGCAGAAAAAAGGAAAATTAAAAGTATTTTTATACTTATGGGCAGATAAATTCTTATGAGTGGTTGCAGGGCCACACAGGGCAAAGGCAGAAGGAACGTTCAAGCTGTGGCCACATGGCTAAAGCCATACCAGGCATGTCAGGTCCCAGGTATTCCATCCATAAGTGTCAAAGAAATGTACATATGATCTGTGTTATTCCCAAGTTGTCTATTTTTCATTATCTCTTCAATGACTTATTTGCACACCTATTGTAATGACAGGATTTTGGAATGGCGGAGGAATTTGCTACTAAGGCCCTGGAGCTGAAACCGAAATCTTATGAAGCTTACTATGCAAGAGCAAGGGCAAAACGCAGCAGCAGGTGAGGAGAGAGAGAGAGAGGGTAAAAAGCAAGAGGTCTCTTCTCTGAAAATCTGGCCAAGGCAATGTAGGCCATCCTGGGGCATACGTACCCAATGTGTCTATCCCTGAGGACTCGTAGGGCGCGCTTTGGGAATGGCTCCCATAGCAATACTCAGCTTGAGGTTGGCACGTCTCGGGGCTGTGGAAAGCTAGAGTCTTTTGCTTTGGGTGAAAAATGTCTTTTCCTTGTTGGAGAGTGGCACCTTCTTCCAAGAAGCCTCTGCCATCTCTCAATCGTGTTAACCCCCAAGCAGGAGCATAACGAGACACTGTGACTTAGGAAGAGGTCACTTAGCAACATCCCCTCGACCCTTTCAGAGGGAAAAGTGGGATGGGTCACTTACATCACAGGCTCCTCTTTCTTTTCCTGTAAGCATTTGGGGAGTCCCTGGATTGTTTAGTCTCCCTTGTGGGTCTCCCCTCAAGTCTAGTGGCATCAAACCTCTTTCTTACCTAAAGCCCTACCACAAACTCGTGGAGAAGGAGGCCCTGCTGCCAGGATTGAGGGGACCCACAATGGACTCCATCCCTCATGCCCATCTGCTGTGGTTTGGCCAGTGGGCAGGAAGGGTGCCAGAAAGACCTAGAACCTGCCATCAGTGATCTTAGGATAACTTGTCCCTGTCCTTGATGCCTCCTGCCAGCATCCCACCTTCTCCCAAACTGCATGGGAAAGAACTGCTTCAGGCTCACTGATATAACCAGGGCCGGGATATGGTCCTGGAAATCAAACCCAGGGTAAGTCCAGTAACGACAGTGGCAGTAATACTAATCTTAACTAGCTGGGGTAGCAAAGTTCTTTAGAAGCTTGACTGTCAAGTTCTCTTTCCCACCAAATAATTCCTTCCCCACAAATTCAATTGCTTCTTTTCTGGGCAATATTAATAGAGAATGGGAATATCTTTGATAGTTCACATCCTAATTTTAAATTAGAATCTGAGCTGTTTAGTCAGCAAAACTAATATCTTCCCAGCTTTGATGTAGGAGAATGGAGGAGCAATAGTGCTATGGGATGAGGGGTAGGAAGGGCAGAAGATAGGGTTCTTGCCTAGGATGGAACAGGCCTGAAACTTGGAGCCAAAATATCAAAAATATAATAATAAAAAAAATGCTGCTGTATCAGCAAGATTTTTAAATATTGTAGTTATTATTTTGTTCCTAAGCTAATTGACAGTGACCCTGTAAATGACAACCCCACCCAACCCTCATACTGCCTGGTGTGCATTTGGGCACTAAGAGAATCTTCCTGAAGGGCCTGGCTGGACTGAAAAAATGAGGACATTTCTTCACTGATCCCAGAGAGGCCAGAAGGAAGATGGAGGCAGAACGGGTTAGAGAATCATTCTAGACTCCTCTAGAATGACAGCCTACCTGTTTCCTTCCTTACAAATCAAATAAAACCAAAAAACCCCGACTCTGACAGATGCTCCCACAGTTCTCTGAAATAGTGACCATGTTCTCAGCTCTGGGTGATTCCTGTTGATTCAGAATAACTCCAGTTCCTGTGTTTACATTTTGTCAAGCAGACAGTTTGCAGCAGCCTTAGAGGACCTGAACGAGGCCATCAAGCTGTGTCCAAACAACCGTGAGATCCAGAGACTTCTGATGAGAGTGGAGGAGGAGTGTAGGCAGATGCAGCAGCAGCAGCAGCAGCCGCCACCGCCACCACAGCAGCCTCAGCAGCAGCTACCAGAAGAAGCAGAACCTGAACCTCAGCATGAAGACATATACTCTGTGCAAGACATATTCGAGGAGGAGTACCTGGAGCAGGATGTTGAAAATGTTTCCATTGGCCTCCAGACGGAGGCACGGCCCAGTCAGGGGCTCCCGATCATCCAGAGCCCACCCTCCTCTCCAGCCCACAGGGACTCGGCCTACATCTCCAGCTCACCGCTTGGCTCTCATCAGGTTTTTGACTTCCGGTCCAGTAGTTCTGTAGGTTCTCCCACTAGACAGAGCTATCAGTCCACCTCACCTGCCCTTTCTCCAACTCACCAGAACTCTCATTACAGGCCTAGTCCACCACATACTTCCCCGGCTCATCAGGGTGGATCTTACCGCTTTAGCCCCCCTCCTGTGGGAGGGCAGGGCAAAGAATACCCAAGCCCTCCCCCTTCCCCTCTCCGTAGAGGCCCTCAGTATCGTGCCAGCCCTCCAGCTGAAAGCATGGGTGTCTATAGAGCCCAGTCTGGCTCGCCTGTGCGCTATCAGCAAGAAACAAATGTTAGTCAGCTTCCTGGCAGGCCAAAATCTCCACTATCCAAAATGGCCCAGAGGCCCTACCAGATGCCTCAGCTTCCTGTGGCGGTGCCCCAGCAAGGGCTCAGGCTACAGCCTGCTAAAGCCCAGATTGTGAGAAGCAACCAGCCCAGCTCTGCTGTTCATTCAAGCACTGTCATCTCCACAGGGGCCTATGGTCAAGTAGCCCACTCGATGGCTAGTAAGTACCAGTCTTCCCAAGGGGACATAGGAGTGAGTCAGAGCCGGTTGGTTTATCAAGGGTCAATTGGGGGGATTGTTGGGGATGGGAGACCTGTGCAGCATGTCCAGGCCAGTCTGAGTGCAGGCGCCATCTGTCAGCATGGAGGGTTGACCAAAGAAGACCTTCCACAGCGACCTTCCTCAGCATACCGAGGTGGCATGAGATACAGCCAGACACCACAGATTGGACGTAGTCAGTCCGCATCCTATTACCCGGTCTGTCACTCAAAACTAGATCTGGAGCGTTCCTCTAGCCAATTAGGTTCCCCTGATGTGTCGCATCTAATCAGAAGACCTATTGGTGTCAACCCCAACGAAATCAAACCCCACCCACCAACTCCCAGGCCATTGCTGCACTCCCAAAGCGTAGGCCTTCGCTTCTCTCCATCTAGCAATAGTATTTCATCTGCCTCCAACCTAACTCCTACCTTCCGGCCGTCCTCCTCGATTCAACAGATGGAGATCCCACTAAAACCTGCATATGATAGGTCATGTGACGAGCTGTCGCCAGTGTCTCCCACTCAGGGAGGTTACCCCAGTGAGCCCACCCGATCCAGGACCACACCATTCATGGGAATCATAGATAAAACGGCGCGGACTCAACAGTACCCCCACCTTCACCAGCAGAATCGGACCTGGGCAGTGTCATCGGTGGATACCGTTCTCAGCCCCACGTCTCCAGGCAACTTGCCTCAGCCGGAGTCCTTCAGCCCACCATCATCCATCAGCAACATTGCCTTTTATAACAAAACCAACAATGCACAGAATGGCCATTTGCTGGAGGACGATTATTACAGCCCCCATGGGATGCTGGCGAACGGGTCCCGCGGAGACCTCTTAGAGAGAGTCAGCCAGGCCTCCTCGTACCCTGATGTGAAGGTGGCCCGGACCCTCCCTGTGGCTCAGGCATACCAGGACAACCTGTACAGGCAGTTGTCCCGGGACTCTCGACAAGGGCAGACATCCCCTATCAAACCAAAGAGACCATTTGTGGAGTCTAATGTTTAAAAGACATTTGTTGGAGTGAGACCCATATGTTTTCACTGCACATATTTAGGCTTGGTTTCCACATTTGAGGTAGTTCTCTAGCTTAATTTCTCATGTAGTTTCTGTGTGGTGTTCAGAGGTGGCAGCCCACATGCCGAAATCCTTTGCATGCAGCCGACTGGGAAGCTGGCCTCCAGTGAGCCAGGACTTCAGTTTCTCTTGCTGTGCCCAGCCACATGCTCTCTCCCTCTCTTCGGATGCCAACGAGGAGATTGTTGTGCCGTGTGCTTTAACCAGGGAGATCACACACACTGGTCAGCTTTTTCCAGGAGACAATCGCTTTCACTGATGTTCTTGTTGTGTAAATGTCTTTCTCTTTTTTTACAAAAATAAGACGTTCTTGTTCGCTTTCTTCTAGGAACTTTAGAAAGTGTGTGATGCTCCCTTTGCCTTTGCATTCTGACCCAGTGTTTTCCAGATAACCAGCCCCAGTGCATTCTGGTGCCCTGGTCTCCCCTTCCGCCAGCTCCCTGCAGTCTTCAGGTCTTGAATGTTCCTTTAGGTTGTTGCTGGTCTTCCTGTGGGGGTGAAAGGATCAAAGAGAAAGAGATGTCTGTTAAATTGGAAGAAAAACCCCAATGTAATTATTTGAAATACCACTACATTTATTTCCCAAGAAGCATTTTAACAACATTTTTAAAACCAGCTTTTTAAATATTTTGGTCAGCCAAGAAAATTGGATAAAAATCAAGGATAATTTTTTTAAATTTTACTGAAATCATTCTTTGGATGTTTAGCCAACAATTACCATTAAAAACTACTGATTTTCCATAGGTGAGGGAAGGAATAAATAAATATATAGGAAGACAGAGAGAGAAGGAAAGACTGTCTGGATTCTCGTTGAAAGGCTGTAGAAAATCTTTGGAGAAATCCCCCTTTAGATCCTGAAGTGTCACAGAGCATCAGATTCCACAAAAAGTAAACAGAAGATTGGCTGTGCAGTAATCCTGTTAGGTGGATCTTTGCCTGGAGCTAACTGTTCTACTGGCCCCTTTTTTTTTTTTTTTTTTTTTTTTTAACCAGATGGTATTTAGTGAAGAAATTGGTTCTTTGAGAAACAAATTGAGTTTTCATGGGACTAAAAGATTTATTCCCAAAATTTACACCCAGGGCCATTGCAGTTTGTGCCAGATGTTGTCTCATTCCATTTTGAGATCTATAGTTTCATTATCTATTGGTTGTTTTTTTAGGTAGGAGTGTTCGGGGAGTGATATTTTGAAAACCAGGCACCACAAAGTGTCTCCTTTCAGGGTGCAGAAGGCCTCCTTTCAGCCTGGGTGGGGGCACATCAGACACCAGGTCTTCTGATCCAGGCCCCCTCCACACGTCTGTCTAGTGTTCTCAGCTAAGCTGTCCCCTGAGGGACTGAGGCCGGCATGAGAGGAGTGGCGAGAACACTGAAAGCCAAAGCCTGAGCGTAGGCCCGGCACTGAGTGCTCATCAGTTCGTAAAGCTTAACCTTCCCAACTCAAATCAGCGGAAGAGAATTAGTTCTCAGTTGTGAGGAATCACTCTGTTCTTGTCCGTAAAGGGCTACAGGTAGGGCAGCTTCCTGAATAGAAATCCAGATGCGATCAGACCTGTTTGTAATAGTAAATGTCCTCTGAAAGCATCGCTGCAACAAGCTTGAAGCACGATATTGAGACCAGAAACACTTCTTCACTAATTTAGATTCTGCCAAATAGAAGGACCCCTCTGCCTGCAAGCCTGAAATAGGCTGGGACTTGACCCTGTGCTAGAGGCAACAGCTGGGTTAACTCAAGACCCAGACTCTTTCTCTGATGCCAAAGGACTATCTGCTCAATGAGAGCAGAGTGGGCATCAGCGTGTGTCTTTCCCCCTCTCTCTCTCTCTCTCTCTCTCTCTCTCTCTCTCTCTCTCTCTCTCTCTCTCTCTCTCAGAAGATGAAAATGTACAGCATTAGCACAGCCTACAGCTGGGAGGCCAGCAGCCTCTCACTCCCCCTTTCTCCAGGTCTTAACCCTGTTGGGCTTTTTGCATCTTGTCCCTTTTTAACCACCTCTCACTGAGGAGCCGCTGCTACATTTTGAAAAACTCCTCAGTGTCTTAGAAAAGTGCCCCTGCTTATTTGGAACAAGACACATACATCTGTCCTCCCCTGGCTGGGTGGGTGAACAGGTTCTGTGGTTTTATAAATACGCTACTTCTCCGCACGGTCTCTCTTTCGGTTTTCCAGGATAAATAGGAGATTTTTAGGGTCTGTGTCTCATTGGACAGAACACCTAAAATGTTGATAAAATACATTTTGTTTTTAGCCATTGGAAGAGGGAGTGAATATCACTACTGGGCGCCAGTTTTTGCCTACAAAATGCCCACTGGACCTTACAGGGAGGAGACGGAGTTCTTGCTCTTCCTTGTAAGCAGACTGCCTGTGCCCTGTTTTGCTACTTCACTGCCATGGGATGATCTTAGTACTTTATCTGAGAGTTGCTCCTCTCCCAACAGCATTTGCTGAATCAATGTCTGGCTTCAGGGGGGCGGGGGGGATTTTTCATATGAAACCAGTAAGTTCCTCTCATCCTATTCACATCACCCTGAAATGGAGACAGTGGTGACAAACTTCAGCTTATAGGTTGTTCGTTCCGTTTGCCCAGAATTCTTGCACTAATGGGTTTCCATCACATCATGTCTATAAATGGGTGCACTTTACTGTTTGAATTTGTGACTCTAATACTGGATATTTAAGTGTGAGTACTGTCTTCATTAGAAAATAGCAAAAACGCTCTTGTCTTTTAGTGTGTTTTTCAAGGGGAAAAAAGGAAAGAAATCAAGCAGTGGATCACAACATTTATAGCACAAGAAATAACTTGTATATAAGTATCAAAAAGACTAAGAATTTTTAAATACAAAAAAATATTTGCAGTGATTTTAAAGTGCTTTTCCAGCAATGTTCTTAGGGACTCCTGAGACATGGTTACTTTATTTACTGGATCAGTAAGGCACACGATTAACAATTTAAAATTAATGTTTATTTACAAAGTAAAGGGAAAACCTGTGTAACATGAGAATTTGGCATGGACAAAATGGAGACCATTTTGTATCTGCTGCTGTAGCTTGCCAGGTCGCAGGCCGTGCACTATTAAAGTCCCGAGTTAATAGAGCACAAGCCCGTTCTTTTCTCCCATGTGCCCTCTTTTTAGATGTGTTTGACTTAAACTCGAAGGCTCAGGAAAATTCCAGTAATTAGAATCATGTACAGTACCCCAGGTCTTTGTCCAGAGCTACAAGTTGGCTGATTTAGTTAAGCCTGGATTACAAAACACTCTTCCTAAATTATTGTAAACAGAACAGCTTAGAGAAAGGGATTCTTAGTCCTTATATTGTATAGTAGTTTATGAAACCCTCTTTAAATATTGGTATTTTTGTATTCCAGAGATGTACCCAATAGAAAAAATTAATCAGTATCTAATTTAATATCCTTAAGTATTTTCCTTAGATTTT